GCAGCGGGCTCGTCCGGCGGCGGGATCCCTGGCTCCCCGGGCAGGCCCTGCAGCCCCCGCCCGGGGTGATCCGGGAGCCGGAGCCCAGCGCTCGCCCCCTCCCGGGGCGCGGGGACACCCCTGTGCCCCTTCCCGGGGATGCCCTGCTGGTGCCCCCTCTTTCGAGGTCCTTCCCTGGGGAGGGCACCCCAAAACCGACACCCCAGAGTTCTGTCCTGGCCGCGCTCACTGAGGCACCCCCCAAGCTAGGCCCCAGGGCCAGCTCCTGCCCCTCCTGCTTTATCCTCCCAGGGCTGGCTCCGTTCTCTTCTGGGCTGCCCCTTGATTAACCCCCCCATGGCTGACCCTCCTCCCCAGGTCATCACCCCTATCCCTGCTTCTCAGAGTGATGCTTTTTTCGTAGCCCTGACCCTGTCCTCATCAGCCCAGCCGTCCTCTCTGTGCCCGAGGGCAGTGGGTTGGGAAGGGGACAGGAGGACCTTGGGTGGATGCTGGGGAAGGTGTTGTTCTCTCCCACCTCCCCAAAGGGCCTGGCCATGGGGGAGGGAGAGGTGCTGTGTGCAGGACATGCCTGGGCTTGGCTGGAGGGCAGGTGAGCTGTTAACATCTCCCGGGACACTCAGCAGCATTTGAGATGCACAGTGCTTGGCCTCTGAGGTCCCTGGATCCCTCCTTGTGAAAAGCTAGTTCTATAAATGGATACATTCTGTAAACAATTCCTCTCCCCCCGGGGTGTTGTGAGCCCTCATCTCTTGCTGCTCGCAGAGCATCAGCTGGGCCCTGCCTGCCGGGTCGAGCTGAGGGTCCAGGGATGATATTTCCAGGGAGGCATGTGGTGCTGACCTGCCTGAACATGGGAGCATCCTGCCTCTTCTATCCTGAGGTGGGGGGAGTTGTTTACAAAGTGACAGGCTGTGTCTCAAATGGCTCAGAAACTCTTCCGGGGATGAGAGTCATTCATTTTTGGCTTCATTTTCAAGCATTTTTCAAGCTGTCACAGCTTGGCAGGTCTGTAGCTGCAGTGTCAAGATTTAGAATTATTCTGTCGGTAATTGCTTTCTGATTCATCAAAATGATAGATGAGAGGGAAAATGACAAATAATCACAAGTTGGGGATCTTCAAGGATATCCCAAAAAATGTGACTGGAGAAGCGTGGCATGTGCAGGTCCCTTGTCAGGAGGTGACCTTTGCTGTCAGAGCATTTACAAAGAAATTCTCTTAAACTGAGAGTTGGAAAAAAACCCCACAACCCAACAGATAACTGGAAAGTGAGTCTGTGAGCCAAACTGTGAAGGTAGTTTTAGATAATTCAGTCTTTGCCCTTTTTTACTGAGCCTGAATGCAAGGTTTTGTCACCTCAGGTACTAACAACTGTCCATGCCCAGAGTGCTAAAAGCAAAGTACAGCTTCTGTGCTTAATTTCCCTACCTGAAGAGGGGGGGTGTGTGCTCTGATGTGCGTTTTCTTCCCTCAGCCTCACCAGCTTGTCTAATAAAAGCTGTTACTGCTCTCTCCTACTCACAGCCTCAGACTAGCACAGCTACAAGTGATCTCTTACTTGTCTTGTTCCCTTAGTTACATTTCCAGAGACTCTCTTTGCCACAAGTCCCTTCATTTTCAGAAGCGGTGTGGGAGTTGTGTGGTTACATCTCTTACATCTTTTTTTTTTTCTTTTCCTTTAAATGTTGAAGGTAGGTGACTCATCATAACTCCAGCTGATATTTCTCAGTGATCTCTTATTTAGCAGAGTGCATAAGACAGAAGATGTATCGCAGAGTCAGAGAGCTACTGATACCAGCATGGATTTGAAAAACAACAACAATGTGGCAGTTGCTTCTTGCTGTTTGCTTTTCCTTTTGGTGGTTGAAAGGTTTAGAGGCTGCCTCTCCAGAACCAGAGTGACCCTGCGTAGGCTCTTGTACTGGAGGTGTGGGCCTCTCCAGTGCTCTTCCCCACCATCCTGCCAAGACACCTCTGTGTGTTTCTTCTGATAAGCAAGTGTTCCCCACCTCAGTGGACTCCCTTTTTGGGGGGAAGGTCTGGGCAGCTGTCTGTGAGGCTTGGGCAGAGGGCAAAGAGACTCTTGGGAGCAAAAGATAAAAAATGGATGAAGCATAATCAGGATATTTCAACAACAGCTGAGTTCAGCTCAACTGGAGCAAAACAGCTTTGTTTTGCAGAAGCCAGTGCTTTTCCAAAAGCAGTGCTTGCTTTTATTTTCCCCTTCCTGAGCAGACCAACAGTTGTGGACTGCAGTGGTGGTTATAGATGCTCCTGGAGTGGTACATGTCATTGGTACAATATTCTTTTTTCAGAGGGCTCAGCAAACCTTCAGTGCCAGTCATGACTCACCAGGATAATCATCTTTTGTCTCCGGGCATGTGTGTGCATGTATTTGCAGAGGAAGGGAGGCAAAGAGGCTAAGGGAGCTATTGAAGGCTGCAGATAGTAGGGAGGGAATGCACGTGTTCCTCTCTCGGCTTCACCTCGCTGCCTCGGACTGTAGATGGAGCAGCGCACTGCTCTTCTCAGCGCTGGTGGGGATTTTGAACTTCTGGCTCATTAGTATGTCTGCACACAGCGGCTGTTTGCAATGTTGTGGTGTTACAGAGGAGGATTTGACTCTGTGTTGGGTAATGTGGGGTCTTTGTTGCATCTTCTCTTACTCTTAGATCTAAGCAGCACAATTGGGCTATTTCAGTGATCTTGAAGGAAGGCAGGATGATCCTGTCGAAGTACAATGGTCTGGGGACCAGCCAACTTGACTTGCATTTCCAGCTCTGCAGTTCTCCAATGTGTGACAAGGGGCTTGTTGCTTAACTGTTCTGCACATGTTTAATTCTAACTTAATCAGAGCTGATCGTGCTCAGCCTGCTTGTAAGGCTCTTCTAGATCACAGTTCAGGAAGCACTGAATGTTGTTGTCAAGTTCTTTGCCGAATGGGTAAACACGGATAGGAAAGGGTGGTTTAACTCCGTGTGCTGTCCTGCTGCTGCTGTTTGCAGAGATCTCAACCTGATCCTCTCTCTCAGTCATTGATCACAGCAGCCAGTGCTGGCTGTGCATGACTCTCCAGCAGTCTATGGGCTGGCAAGGAAAGGAGATACTGAAGGACTAGCTCGCATTGTGTGGGCACCTGCCCTCAGTTGTGCTCTTCATAGAGCACTCAGGTTTGCACTAATAACACTCAGCAGGTTCCTCCCTGTTTGTCAAGTACCTTCTCTATTTCAAATGGTTCGGGCATGTCTGCGCAGAGAGCTTCCGGAGGCTGATGCTCACTGAGAAGTCCAGGCTGTGAGAAAAACCTGTTGTCTTGTTTCCAGCCTGCCTACTGCCATTTTCTGTGTTTTCCCTTCTCCTGGTGCTGGTGCAGCCTTCTGCACAGCTGCTGTGCTGAAAGCAAAACAGCATGGCTGTGCTCTGGTGGCTTCTTGTTCTAGCATGCAAGCTTGATCTGCTGCCACAGCCTGGTTTGTTCCACACCAGGATGGTGAAGGTGTGGGGCAGAGGAGGGGGAGGTTGGCATTGTGTTGGAGGATGGGAGACCTGCTGTGAGGTGGTGCTTCAGAGAAGTTTGCTGAGGAGCTTTAAGAAGAGGAAAGCCTCCTAGCTTTGAAGCAAGGGAGTGGCATTGGTCTGTGTTGCTGTTCCCCTGAAACCCCTTTTTAGCAATCAGCTATAATGAAGTATTCTAAACTAGATGAGTGGTGACTTGTACATGTGGCTCCCAGTAACAGTAAATCCACCACGGTTTGTAATAAGGTTCTAGTGCCTGGGGTAGTTGCCTAAAAATAGCAAAAAAAGGATGGCTGTTAGGCTCAATCTGAATCAGAAGGAAACAAATGGCTTTTAATACTCCCTTCTGTTTCAGAGTGAAGGATGCCGAGGAGGAAGAAGCCCACGGAGGGCCTGGACTCTCGAGGTCAGGATGGGGAGGAAGAGGAGGAAGAGAGGAGGAACCCAGCTGATGCCAAGAAGAAGCGCAGTTTTGTGGATGCATTTATTGTCATATCTGACAGCGATGGAGAGGTCAGTGATGGGCTTGTGGTGTCCAGAGCCTGGGCTGGGCCCTGCTGCTGTGGGAGCATTTCTGAGCATCTCGCCCTGTGTGTGCCAGGGTCAGGCTCTGCACAGAGGGCATTGTGCTGTTCCTTTTCTTACATGTGAGATGATTCAAATCCTATTTGACTAGAAAATGAATGGTGTGCTTCGTGAGTATGAGTTATGAGTCTGGGATTTGATAACCAAATCCTCTCAGAACTGAATTTGAAACGTAATTTAAAAGTAACCTTTCCTCAATCCCTTTACAAATCTTTTTTCATAATTTTTATTTGATTGATTTTCAGCTAAACCGTAGAAACGTGATTCTGTATTATGTGCAAATAGATAAGAAAATGATTCAGAACACAGGCTTGTGAGTAGCTCAGACACAGCTGGTGTCTGGTGAACTGATGCTGAGTTACAGAACCCTGTTTTTTTAACCCATTTCCATAAGCTATAAAGGTGAACTGCAGTGTGGGTGCACCTGGCTGAGCTATAAAGGCTCAGTGATCCCTAGCATCATGGAATCATCGTCTTACAAACATCATCCTTACCCTAAAAGATTGAAATGTCTGTGTCTGTGACCCTGGCATTGGGATGAGTGCAGGAACTCCTGCCTGGGGGAAACCCAGCACCCCGAAAATCTGTTCTCAACTTGAGGTGCAAGAGAGGAAATTATATTGGAATCAATTTTTTATGTGTGACTGCTAAAGCTTTGCTCTGTCTTGCTGGTGACTGGGGATCCTAAGCTGCTTTTTGTAATTCCACCATTTTCAAAAGCCTTTCAGTTCACTCTCAAGCTGTAGATCTTAAATCAAGTCCCGCATCTGCAGTGTGCTTCTCTACAATAAGGCGATTATCATGTGAGGAGAGGAAAAGCACTAGAAATAAACAGTAAGAAGCTGTAGGGCAAATTATATTGGATGTTTTTTCTTCACATTGTCTGAGTTCTTTCCCGTTGGGAAATTCCCTGAAAGAAATGGAACATATGGCAGTAATAGTTCAGTGGGGTTAAACCCTTAGCTCTGCAATATGCTAAGTTAACTTCAGATGTCTGCTGCATCACTGGCCTTTATTGTGAAACCTATAAGGAAAAAAGAAATCAGCAGCTCTAAGAGCTGCTGCAGTACATAAAAGATCAGGACCTGTTATTGTCTGCAATTATTCATCTCAATGTGCACGTATCTGAAAAAGAGGAAACAAACGTCTCTTAAAACACATCTATAAAAAGGTTAGGCTCCCTGGCTGTTCTGTAAGTTTGTCTATAAACAATAAATTCTGATGGCATAATCGGTCATATTACAGAAAAGGATATGCTCAGAGAGGCCGTTAAAGAGCCAATTAGGTTCTGTTTAAGTGACAACAGTTCAGTCAGTTGAATGAGTGGATTTATTCAGTTCAGTTCAGTCTCTTTCTGTGAGTCATCAGCTTCCAGATCCAGTGCCACAGTCTCTTGTCGTGTTGTTTTCTGCAAAATCAAACCCAAAAATGTGATTTACTTGGGATCTCAAAAAAACCAAACTGTCTGGCTTCTGTAACTGTCTCAGCTCTTCAGTGTACATCAAGTTGAATTTCAATTGCAAACCTTGTAACTGTTGTTCTTGCTCTAGTAGGACCTTGTTATGTGTTCAAGAAGAGGTGTGGGAAGCTCAGATCAATAGCAATTTTAGAGAACAATACATTCTCAATTAATCTTGCATCTGTTAGGACATGGTTCCTCATGAATCAAAAGCTACAAGGACAATTTGGGCATCATTGATTCGATGGCTTTCTTCCTTGGCAGTCTCTTGGCAGGTATCTATAGAACAAGTCCCTAGTTCTGCTTCCAGACCAGCAGATCTTGTAGCAGCTGCACCTGGAAAGCCTCCAGCTTCTCACTTTTGATGATCTTTGGCAGACTGCCTCTCCCAGGAATTTTTCAGTCGTGCTGGATTATCAAGCTCATCCATGTTATTTTGCCAAGTTTTCTTTCTTTGCTCATGTCTATGCTGTGGCATCTGCAGAGCTGCATCAGAAGGAATTTTTCTGGACATGGGGCTTTCTGATCTCTGCTATATATAATCCTGAATTCAGGAAACACTTCTTTTTTTCTTTGGTAAGGATCTTGTCAAAACAAGAGGAGACAACCTTCTTTGTGCAGGCTGTGTCTCTGGAAATGCAGACATGACGAATGAGTAGAGTGTTTCCTGTCTCCCCCAACCATTTAAATCTTGTGGGGGATTGGTTGCCCATGCCAGAAGAGAGGTGATCATTCACAAATACACAATATTTCAAATAGTGGTTACAAAACCTCTCTTCAAGCATAGCAACTCCTGGTCTGTCTCATGACCCTCCTTCTTGAACTGGGCTGTTGATAAAGACTCTTTGACCCTCGAGGTTTTCTGAAGCCTGAAAGACGATTGTCACCCAGCAGGAGACCTGGCCAAATATGAGCACGAAGCACAGCCAGAGCCCCAGTAGTTGTGCTAACCTGTCTGACTGATCTGCAGCCTTCAGTGCAATTGATCCCAAAATGCTGCTGATCTGCTGTGAGACCTTTCAGAAGGGTTAATTTTTCCTCATTAGATCCTTTGGGAGGTCTCAGAGTACCTGCTTCCACTCATAGAGTTTGCATGAAGTCTCACAGTCTCTTTCTACCAAATTCATCAGCTTTGCCAGCCTGTGGGGAACATGACAAGATTCCAGGGTGATGGTGCTGTCTATTTCTGTGTGGCAGCTAAGGCCTGTCTTCCTTTTGGTGTAGAACATCCCTTTGGCTGAGTGTTGCTGTGTTTACTCAGAGTCTGGGTAAATAGGCATGTGGATGTTCCAGATAAGATGTTGGCTTTTGGTAGAAAGAGGGAAGTGTCTTTGAGCATTGACTGGAATACCCAGCCACCATCCCGTCCTGTTCTCCATCAACTGCAGCAGTGGGCACTTTGTTTTGGGACCAGGCATGCCCTGTAGGACATCTTGCTATGGAGAGGATGGTGCAGGAAGCATCTCAGGTAGGATGGCAATGCCCACCTCACAGTGCTGACCATTTGAGTGAAGCAGAGCCACATGGAGTCCTGCTGCAGCACCCTGCTGTCCCCACAGGCTCTGCTGCAGTACCGAGGGACCTGGTGCCTCCAGTTCCCAGAGAAGGAGGCAGTATGGTTGTGCTCCCAAGGAGGCTTGGCAACTCTGCTGCAGTCACTCCTCAAAATCAGATTGGTCTGAATCCAGGCTCCTCATAGCCTGGTAAAAGCCCTTTTTTCTACAGAGGCTTCCCTCCCATGTGTCAGGACCTACATGTCTGGCATGAGCCCTGTTGTGTCTCCTCGTTCGAGTCTCCACTTCCAGCAGGTTTGTTCTAATGAACTGAAAGAGCAGAGCTGAAGCAGATTCTGAACTGAAGTCAGACTAATAAAATAGGGAGTGGTATTAATTTCAGCAGCCGCCTTGGCTAGAGTCAAACGTGGCACTTCCAACATCTAATTGGCTTTTAAAAATAAATTAGTCTGGTTTTCATCTGCATATTTCCCATGCAGGATGTGTGGTGTTTGGCCATGGCCTATTGTTAGATGGTCCCAACTGCAGTTGAGCAGTAAAATTACCCAGACCTTTTGACTTTGCAGTCTGCACTGTTAGCTGTGGAGACATTCTTCTGTGGCCTTTCCTTCCCTGAGCCAGTCGAAGCTGTTTTCTGTGGTTTACGATGTGGATTCGAGGGAGCAGGATGTGGGAGGCTGGCTACTGGCTTCCATTTATGGGCTTTAGAAGTGAGTGGAGCTGTATCTGTTTCTGCTGGTGGAGTCATGTTCTCTTAAGTGTGTGCAAAAGCATTTTTAAAATGGGAATTTGATTTCCTGCTGTCTGGTGAAACCAAGCAGGTTAAAAAAAAAACAAACAAAGAAGAATAGTTTCTGCCTTCCACTAAACGTGTA